TCCCCAGCCATCCTTGCCACAGCCCAAAAGAACTGTGAACAAAGTTGATTCATAGGTGTGGGGATGAAGATTATGCATGGGTTCAACAACATGGATATCCACTCACCTAGGCCGACCTAAACTATGGTTGCTGCTCAGTACCAGCTCTTTCAGCAGCAGTGACCACCAGTGACCCTGATGAAGCACCATGCCTGGAATGGCCAGCCCACCCCCGATGGCAGGTTGACTTCACTGAACCATTTCCACCATGGAAAAGGCAGTACTTTGTCCTTACTGGATCTGCCCTTTGTACTGTCATAAGTAACTGTCCTCCAAGGGAAGCAACCTCAATTTTGGAGAGCTCATCTGCTCCCCCTTGCAAAAAGATCATCCCAGCTGAGCAGCTAGTTTACACTTTTCATCCTGTTGTGGGGCATCTGTACAGTGTGTGAAGGTATATTGCTGTGACTGGTGTAATACAAAGCTGAACGGCCAATAGCTAGGCAGAAGTATAGGCAGGACTTCCAGGAAAAGAGAGAAAGAAGGAGGAAGAGACAGGGAGGATGTGTGCTATATGCCTGGACACAGATTAACAGAAATGGGTTAATTTAAGTGATAAGAGCTAAAAACAGACTTGGGGCCTCAGATAGTAGTAGATCAGTATTTATCCATGGCGTACAAATGGACTTGGGGAGCCCATTCCACATGCAGGGATACTCTCTCAGCCTGGACACATTGGGGAGGGCCTAGACCCTGCCCTGGATGATATGACAAACTCTGGAGATACCCCATGGAGGGCCTCACCCTCCCTGGGGATGGGAGGGGAGATGGGTGGGAGGTTGGAAGAGGAGGGAAGGGAGAGCTGGGATTGACATGTGAAGCAAGCTTGTTTCTAATTTGAAAGGAAGGAAGGAAGGAAGGAAGGAAGGAAGGAAGGAAGTGTGGGGAGCCGCCCCCACATTCTCCGATACAAGATGGCGCTGACACCCGTTGTCAGTTGGAGTAAACAACCTTGGTGCGCATGTGCCTGCTACTTTTCCATCCCTTACTCTCTGCCTCTCCCGTGGCATCATATGGGCTGACGAGCAGGAGCCAGTCAGGAGATGACACGTCCGAGGCGGGAACTGCTGAGCTATATAAGGGTTGGGCTTTTCGCTCCCTGGGCCTCTGCTCTGTAAGCTTATGCTCTCCCTCTCAAGACGCATTAAAGCTGTTCTGCAGAAGGATCCTAAGTGTGCCGCATCGTTCTTGCTGGCGAGACGGTAGTGCGGGACAAGGAAGGAAGGAAGGAAGGAAGGAAGGAAGGAAGGAGGGAGGGAGGGAGGGAGGGAGGGAGGGAGGGAGGGAGGGAGGGAGGGAGGGAGGGAGGAAGTCACAGACACACATTAAAAAAAAAAAAACAGGCTTAAACTAAGAACAAACTTTCATAAATAAGTGTCCCTGTCATTATTTGGGAGTTTTGGGAGGGACATAGAAGGCTCCATTGCAACATCCTGTAATAGAAGGCACATGAGATTCACACCTTAGTAACCAGCTGCTCCCTATCACCTGGCAACAATGCTCTTGGCCTGGGGGGTGAGCCATAGCAGAGGACAGCAAAACTAGAGCTGAGGCTCCACCTAAGGGACCACGGGGGAAGGCCTCATCCCTGTTGAGTAAGGGCTTTCAAGGTGTGGCCAGGTGTAGGAGTGGTGTCTACACTCTTGTAAGCAACCTCTTGCTCTAAGGCTCTGAAGTAAGGTTCCCAGGGATCAATTTTGGTAGAATTATGCCTCAGTTTGTTGTCATTGGAACCCTGGAAGGAAGGAAGACATAGCAATACTGCACATAATGCTTCCTCCAAAACTGTCTTCCATGGACTTACCAAATGCCTTAGCCACCAGCACAGAATTCTGCACAGCACTATTTCATAGCCAACCCAAAGAAGTGACAGTGTGCCTATAATCATGGAGCGCACTAGTCTTATGCTCCCCAACACCCTGAAGTAGCTAGCTTGAAGCACAGAACAGCCCTTTGAAGACACAGTTACAAAACAAATTGGGGGCTGATATGATGGGGTGTACCTTTAATCTGAGCACTCAGATTGCAGAGGCAGGTAGATCTCTGTGAGGCTAGCCTGGTCTACATATCAAGTTCCAGGCCATCCAGAACTACACACAGAAACATGATCTTTAAAATAAAATAAAATAAAAAATTAGGTAGCATTAGCCTAGAAAAGCAAGGTGGGATTCCCCAGAAGTCTCTATACACTTTGAATCAACAGGTAGTACATGGCACTGTTTCCCCTGTAGCCAGGATTCACAGATCTGGGAACCAAGGGGCAAAAATTAAAATGGTATAACTCACCATCACCCCAAAAGAACCACAATGCAAATTTTTTCATCCTGTTCCCTCTACTTTATGCTCTGCTGGAATGTAAGTTTTGGTTATAGGGGAGTACTTTGCCAAGAGATACAGAAAACATTCCACTCAGAAGAAAGCTAAGATTTTCCCTGGTCACTTTGGGTTCCTGACACCCTTCAGTCAATGGGACAAGAAAGGAATGTGTAGAGGAGTGCTGGATTCAGATTACCAGGGGGGAAATGGACTGCTTCTCCACATTGGACATAAGGAAGGATATGCCTACAGTCTAGGGGAGCCTTTATAGCATCTCTTGGGGTTATTGTAGCCTGTGACTGATGTCAGTGCTAAACTAGAACTACACATACCAGGCAAGATAAGTGGCCCAGACACTTCAGGAGAGAAACTATGATTCACCCCTACCATAAAGAACCAAACTCTGTGAGGAGCTTGTTGGGTGTGGAGGAAATGCAGACGGGGTGGTGAAGGATGTCAGACATAAAGAGCAGCTAAGGCCATGAAACCAGTTTGTTAAGAATATGTTAAACAGATGTGTTTTATTTCTTTTATCTCTTTATCATGTAATGTATCAGTGAGAAAGTACTCTATACCTATTCCTACATATTGATCTTTTCAATACTAGTTTTCAAGGTACCATGTCAACTGTGAGGGGAAATAATGCATTTTCAGTTGTACCTGGGAAAGTAAAACCACATTAAAAAGTTATGATTTTTCTATTGTTGTCACTTGGAAATTAAGCATGACACAAGGAAAGGTGATTGTGTGTCAAACTGACAAGGGGGACCTGTAATGGTTTATCGCAGTTAGCAATTTGTCTGGTTCTGGAATCAAATAAAAAGGCAGGCTGCTAAGCACACCTGTGAAGACTTTTCTCAATCAAGTTATTAGAAGACCCACTCTAACTGTGTGCAGCACCTTCCAGCCCAACAAAGATGAGGGCAAAGAAGAAAAGCACCTCTATTTTTCAATTGCCTTCCCTGTCCCCGGTGAGTTCATCTATACTGTTTCTGCTATCATTAGCTGGTACAAGACATCAGCTTTGTTGGCCTTCCACCTGGACTGAAGACCCTCAGCACCAAACAGAGACTGCTGGTGCACCCACCTACTGGGCTCTCAGCCTTTCCAGTATGAGACAGCCACACTGCCCAGTCTGTATTGTTCTAGCCAGTCTAACAAATGTCTATTTAATATACACTTACTTATTATCAGTACTGCTCTTGTAGTGAACCCTAACTAACACACATTCCATGAAGTCAAACTATATTTGTAAGTAGTAATAATCAAGACTACATGATTAGGCTGAGTATGATGGCTCAAGTCTATAACCCCAATACCCAGGATGTTATGGCAGGAAGCCTTTATGGGCTCTCTGAGTTCATGGCCAGCCTTAACTACAAAGTAAAAACATGTCTCAAAAGTAGGGGCTAAAGAGTTGGCTCTGTGGTTCTTTAAAAGCACTGGCTGCTCTTCCAGAGGACCTAGGGTCAAGTCCCCCATAATCATATGGGGACTCACAACCATCTGTAACTATAGTTCTAATTCCAGGAGATTTGACACCTTCTTCTGGCCTTCTCAGGCCACAGGCACACAAGTGATCCACAGATATGCATACAAGTAAAACACCCATACGTATCATTTTTTAATTTTAGGTGGATATAATTCTAAGCTCTAAATATATATGTCATTAAAAGATCTTCCTTTTGCAAAGCTCCATAATCTAAAGTTTATACCATGTTTGAAAAAGCACACGGCAGCAACCGCTGCCTGCCTAATATCCATTAGATCATCTTCCATACCAACAAATAAGAACAATCACGTCTCAGCTTTGCTTGCAACTAAGAGTTCAAGTAAACATAGTGGCCATCTGCGATCATTATGAAAGAAGACTTCTTTGAAAGAATGTCAAAACTAAGATGAACAGAGGTCACTAGAGCATCACAGAGAGACTGCACTAGCCCTGCGTCCTGTCTACACTTCAACATGACTGTCTACTGCACTATGACTTTACTAAACACATTCCTAACTGGAATTCTGCAATTGTTAAAATACAGGGAATACAGAGAATACAATGGACAACTAATTAAGAGTATGATTAACATTTAAGACATGGAAAATGCCAGAAAATAGCCCCCATCATCCATAGTCACTACTATGAACATGACAGAAGTTGAGTGTCCCTAACACTCCTGACCTTTGTGAGAGGTCAACAAATCTGTTCTTTGAATGTGTAAATCAAGAAGGAAAATGGTACTTTTCCATAATATTGTAAGGAAGAAGAGAGAAAAACAAGCAATACCTTTATAGTTGTCTCAGGCACAAGCCACAGCATCAATACATTGCCAAAAATTAATATATGATGAAAGTAGCATTATATGTTACCACCCAATAGCAATTTCTGGAAAAGTAATATATGATGAAAGTAACATTGTATGTTACCACCTGATAGCAATTTCTGGAGTAGAGGCATGAGTAGTAATACCATTATGCTACAAATGCATGAGCTCAAGAACACTTTTCTCAACGCTAACAATCTTTTCTTTCCAAACTGCACCGTGATCTTTTATGACAGACTTCATTTGACTCTCAGTATCATAGCACAGGAAGCAAATACATCACAACAAATACTGCATATTTCAAGGCTTCAGTTTAAATGTCCTTACCCTGAAGATCCAATGCTCTTACAAACACCAAGAAGGGGTCTTTTCTCAGCAAAGTTATCACATTTTTGAGCACCTGTCAGAGAGCATAAAACAAAATGTAGGTTTTGAGAAACTTTTATATTTCCCATTATTTCAAAGTACTTACAATAGAGGAGAGGGAAGGTGAGTGGTACATCACTTGTCTGCCATGTGCAGAACAATGTATATCTACATGTGTTTGTATATATGTGTGTTTAAATACTTATATATATGAGCACACAACAGAAACTTATTCAGTATAATGTATTCAATTCACACATTTAACTGTACAAAAAGGAAAAGCTGAAGGAGAAAATATTTTTAACATTAAAGATACTGTCAAACATTTTAGTAAATATTTTTTGCTTAATTGCACCTGTTTCCGATATTATCAATATTCTATGTGAGATCAAAAACCCTCAGGCACCATGCAGGCATGTGATTCACATACACATAACTAAAAACAAACCTTTTTAAAAATAATACCAATACAACTTGGGTCCAAATGACATGAAAAGATATCAACCACACAATTAAGAAAGAGTCCTAAAAACCATAATGATAGTACTAGGAGATGTAGCACAAATTCTAACTGGTATTAATAATAAAAACCCAGAGATAGATATTGGGGTTAAAGCTGAAGATCACAGAAGCAAAGCGGCCAGCCACTAGAGATCTCTCACCTCTACCAATGCTTAGACCAAAGAGGTGATCCTGTCCTCAGACTGCATCTGTCTCCACCAAACCTCAGACTCCAATGAATTCCTGCCCCATCCTGCCTTATGTTACTCTCTCCACCTAGCTATATCATTCCTGTCTCCACCTCCCTAGTGCTGTGAAAGGTGTGAGCTCTGTTTCTCTTTTAAACTGATTTGCTCTCATGTAGCCCAGGGTGGCCTTGAACTCTGTCTCCCAAGTGCTGGGATTAAAGGTGTGGCTACCACTGCCTGTCCTCTATGGCTTTATTTGTTAGATTACAAAGTATCATTACAAGGAAAGTTTGTGCTGCTCCAGGTCTAACGTTAAGAGCACCTGAAGCACAGGATGTGAGGACAATCTGGCCCTCTTCATACTTCCTAAAAAAGGTGAGGAAACTCCCAAATGACAGACTTCCTCCTTTGCGAGGAGAAAAGAAACCATTTAACACAGCAGATGAGAATGAAAGATGAGCAAACCTAAGAAAACACGGACGTAGATCCTCAGCTTGCTCTAGTTTTCCCAATGCCAACCTCACATGACTGTTATTCTAGTCACTTCTTTCCATCTCTCCTTTCCTGTGAAGACTTCAACACATATGCAAAACTCCATTACATAGCAGTGCATGATTCTGTACTATGCCTGTCTCTGATGCCATCCTGATGGTTAGGATCAGCCATCAACTACAGGAGATTAGGAGGTTAGAGGAGAAACTATTACTCCCCCAAAAGAGTTGCTTTATTTTTGTTTGTTGTTGTTGTTATTGTTTTCTTCTTTTTAATACAAAGTCTCTCACTGTATAGCCCTGGTCAAGATTCTTTAGATTAAAAACAAATAAAACTAATACCTTATCTAGGATGGTCTGGTAGGAAAGAAATAGATTGGAATGAAAACAGATGGATCATCAAATGATGAGCAGTATCTGAGATATTATTCCTGTTACTTTTGAAATATCAGAAATTTTGCAGCTAAGGGTGAGTGAGATGGCTCATAAGATAAACTTGCTTGCTAGGCAAGCCTGACAACCTGAGTTAGATCCCCAGGACCCACAAAAAGAAAGAACAAATTCCCAATAGTTGTTCTCTGAACTCCATGGGACATGTATGCATTCTCTCTCTCTCTCTTCCCTCTCTTCCCTCTCTTCTCTCTCTTCTCTCTCTTCTCTCTCTCTCTCTCTCTCTCTCTCTCTCCCATGCACACACACACAAAATCATATAAATAAATAATATATAGAATAAATTTCTTAAAATGTTCTACTTTAAATTTATAGTCATATAAATTGGCATTTATCAAAACAAGATCCAAGTTTTGCTAAAATTTTCACCAAAGTAATCAAAATTATAAATTCAAAATCCTTGAATCCACAAATACGATGGCTGAGATCTTATCCTACACATAAACTCAGGGATGAGAAGTAACTTACACATACGATTACTCACTGCAGCACTGTTTAAAGTAGTGAAGGAAGAAAGGACCAAGTGTGTGATGGAACGTCCACTCCCCACAACTGCCAACAAGACTCGCTGAATGTAAACACCAAGGAGGCAGCAGATACAATGGGGAACGGGGATCACACAGCAATGGGAAGACACAGACCCACGCAACATCTCTTCAGCTGTACACCCTCCCCAAGGACACATCAAAGTAGTAATCACTGCTGACAGGAGAGGCCAGGGAAATCAGAAGACTGGGGAAGTGGAAAGGAACTTTTCAGTGTTGAAACAGTTTCTGTCTTCTGGTTTTTAGCCCATGTGATACATAAATTTACTGTAAAATGTTCTCTTTAAACAAGAAGCCAAATGCCAAGAGACAGCCAGTGTTTATTTTCAATTTGAACACAAGCTGGGAGAATGAAAATATGCACTTAATTTTATTCTCTCTAAAACTTCTATGGAAGCAATTATTAAAGTTTTAAAATATGTAATAACCCCAAACAAATTTACAAAAAGATGAGTATTGACCAATTTAACAGCTCTAAGTAAAAGCTAGAGGCTTCAGTGACTGGAAAACACCCCCCCAAGATTAAAGGGACTTTATATAAAAGATCATAAAAGGCACAGTAAGTGATTACACCAGGTACACTTGGGACTGGATGTGAAAGAACTAGTCTAAAATAAAGGGAACTGGCTACTTGAGAAACTCTCCGATGCAAAAACTTTACTTCCAGACAACCTGATTCACCCTCCCCATTACCAACAGCCTGAAAGGCAGCTCTCTAGAGAGCCGGAGACAGCAGCTCCAGGTGAAGTGAGGATTAAATGACAGCATTAATGCTTAATACTGAAGCTGCCTTTCCCATGCCCATGACTCCTCCCTCTCTGAGTTTCCCAAACACTAGTGTCAGATCCTTATCATCCATGTCTCCTTTGGGGAAGGACTGGAAAGTGCTGTCTATAGGGGACTCCAGCACAAGGGAAGCTCTGGCAATGAAGGTGAAGCTGCAAAGCTTGCAGTCAGCTTGTGAGTCCCGATGATTGTATACAGACAGCCAAGGATCTGTAGTAGTTTAGAAAAGTGTCTCTACGGGAGAAAACATCAAGAACTACAACATCCCTGTTACTATTTCCAGGAATGTGAGGATACTGAAGACAACAACACAAGAATATCATGTGAAATGGATGCTGAAGGTGTAAGGGAAGCTCTGGGTGGCTGGGATGTAGCTCAGAGGGCAAAGTGCTTGCCCAGGATGCTCAAGACCCTGGGGTCCATTCCTTGTACTGTGTAAGCCAGGCTTGGTAGCTCGTGGCTGTAGTCACAGCACTCTGGAAGTGGAGGCAGGAAGATAGGATCAGAAGTTCAAGACATCCTCAAGGATCAGAAGTTCAAGGTCATCCTCCACTACAAAATAAAAACAGAAAGACAAGGAAGAGAAGTAGGGAGAGAAGTCAGTGGGGAAGAGTGGGGAAGGAGAGGGGGAAAATGGAAAATTTTCAAATTGTAGGTATATTTTAAAACTTGAAAAAAGCACCAGGGATAAATTTAAGAAAAAAAATTCAAAACACTGTAAAATATGCACAAGAAATCTCCAAAGTCTGTACTTAAAGATTCAATGTGGAAGAAGAAAAAAGGAAAACAAAAGCTAGGCATGCAAAACACACACTTCACCTTTAGCACTAGGAAGGCTGAGGCAGGAGGACAACAGCAAGTTAAAGGCCAGACTCTATCTCCATTTTAAAAACTGAACAAAGAAAAGAACATTTGTTCAAGATCAAAATATTACATAGTACTCCAAAAATACATAAATTGTACGTTATTACAGGAAAATTTAAATAAAAGAAAAATAACATGTCAGCTCAAACATAATTTACAATGGATTATATCTGCTTCTGCTACAAATCCGATTTAACAATTAATAATCTGACTTTTAAATCCAAGCATGAGTTAAAATTTAACTGATCCAAAGCCCACACTATTTCTGTACAAAATTAATTACAATTGGACTTCATCTACACAGAGCCAATCCTTCACTCCTTCAACACACTTCCTGGTCCCTGAGGTTTCTCCCTGACCTATCTGCTATTTTGATGGATGAAACATCAAGTTTTGAAAGTGCAATCCTAGTAAGTCTGGCTTAATCATTTCACTCTTCTCAAAACGCAACTGAAAAACTCCACTGGTTTCCACAGGCCTCCTAGAATCTATAGTTAGCAGACTTAGCCACAGCATGCACTCTGAGATTTAGGCTCTTCATGGATATTCAAAGCCAAGTTTGTAAGATATAAAAGAGAAGCCCACCCACCAGGTACCCATTACAAAACACAATTGTAATGACTGGACCACAAGAAAAAAGGATCCCCCAAAATCTCTAAATGCATGAAGCAAACCACTCCACAAGCTGGGAAAAGAGACAGAACTGCAATTTCAGAGTTTGAAAACAATGTCAGTAAATTTTAATTCTCATTTAATTATTTTTAATCTGGATGGCCTGAATAGATACAATTCTGAAAGTTAAAGAGTATAAATTCTGCACACTCATAAGCAGAACAGTATTCACTTGGTTTTCTTTTTTATGCATATAAACAACAGCCTGAGGCCTAATGGAGTCATCGCCCTCCGGCAACGTAATCCTCCAAATTGGAGCGGATTAACTGTTTATATATAAATTGTGAGTGTTTGCATGTGCAGTAGAGAGAATGACGTTACACACACCTGCTCCACAGCACTTGACAGAATGCACCATGATGATTGAAATGAAATGCAGCTCACCAAATCCATCAAATACAAAAACTACCGCAATCCTGTTGCAAAGTCCTTTTGTTAAACTCCTTTTATTCTAAATCCTTTTAATTCTGTCCTATAACACTAAAACATTTATAAAAAGCTTAAAATCCTAATAAATCACACAATTAAAGTAATGAA